CAGGAAAAGTTGGTGACCTGTATCGTGTCCAAGGAATATTGAACCAGCATGGATACCACAGCATTTTACAGCGACATGCTATTCCATCTGGTCAGCGCCTTATTGGTCATTGCTTCATCTTTCAACAAGACAATGACCCAAAGCATACTTCCAAGCTGTGCAAGTCATATCTGGAGAAGAAACAGTCAGCCGGTGTCTTATCTATCATGGAGTGGCCTGCCCAATCACCTGACCTTAACCCCATTGAGCTGCTATGGGAGGAACTGGACCGTGATGTCCGTAAGAAGTGTCCAACCAGTGTGAATCATCTTTGGGCAATCCTCCAGGAGGCTTGGGGTAATATATCAAGTCAATGTTTGAATAAACTGACTGCTCGGATGCCTAGAGTATGTAGAGCTGTAATAGCTGCTAATGGGGATTTCTTTGATGAATCAAAATTTGAGTATTTTTCTATGTTATGTTCATGTTTATGTTCATAAACTTTTTATTTAATAAAATATGTTTTCATAGTTTGTGTTGTCCCTTATTATCAATGCAAAATGGTCACTAACTAAAGAGGATTTATGCTGATATTGCCCAAAAACCCTATTTTGTTCAGGCATTTCCAAACTTTTGGAGGGCAGTGTATATGTATATATCTTTTTTTATATGTACATATTTTCTAGATTATTACATAGTCATATTAAAAACATTTAGATGTTCAATGCAACTCAATATGTTTATCAGTTTGAGGCTTCAATTATTTGGAAGGAATTACTATTATATTTTTATTAAGGAACCTACAGCATTTTTTTCCTTAAAGTATATTGCCACACCCTATTCAAAAATAATAGAGGTATATTAAAACAAGCAATAATGGTAAATTGATAGTGCAACAATGTCAGTGTACTCTAAAAGGTACACTGGTGGTCCAATTATGTTGTATAAATGACTTTTAAAAGTACACAACAACCTTTAGGTCCCCTAAATTTACAAAAGTTTAGTACTTTTTTCTGAGAAAGAAGCTAACAAACCACTATTGGGAACAGTTTGGACCTCTATTTATTGCTTTTTTCTAAAACATAAAAGTATAAGTGGAACGATCCTGAAATTTCAAGTTGCTGAACAGCAAGAAACTGCGTAAGGATGGATAGGTAAATTCTCTCTTTCTGCTTCTGTCAAGAAAGCCCCTAAATCCACGTATTCCTTAATTTATTCTCTGAAACTTAAACATAAAACGTTTGGCACTTTAGCAAGACTGCCACAGACTACAAAGAATAGAGAAAGTGTGAGAATGAAATATTAGTGAAAAAACAAAGAAAGAACAACAGG